AACCAAAATTCCCCCTGCCAACTACAATGGGAACACAAAATTAACACGAACACAAAAAATTTAAACTTCTGCTACTCAGATTATAACTCAGGTTATCACAGTGTGAACACTAATATATCTACTGATTATGATAAGACATTTTTAATTTAAAAATAAATATTTGGAATAAATAAAAATAAAGCAGAGATTCACAAATAAAATACACAACCCTTTTCCCTTTTCAGGCCAATCAATATCACAGCAGCAAACAATATTTGAAGAACAGCACTTTTCCCGCTGCCCTGACACACTACGAGGAATTCTTTTAATGGCAATTACTATTTAATGTACAAAAACTTCCACGCATTACATTATACATGCCCTCGCAGGAACAAATGCTTCTTTCCCCGTTGTTATTAAGAATCTTTACAACACACACAGAAGAGCCTTCCCACAGGTTAGGTTAAGCAAACACAATGGAGACATTGAACAGGATATACTAAATGTCTTAATTCCTTAACAATCACATCTGTACTAAACAGGAATTCTAAGAATTCCTTTTATTACCGCCCCTTATAATAAGTAGCAGATTCAAATATCTACTTTCCTAATCACACTTCCAGAGGCTGAAGCCTGAGAAATATTTAACTATCGTGAATTGCCTTTCTCCCCCATTCTGCGGGTAAAGCATTTTAATCTGGATAAACAGAGCAGAAGCAACTCAGCAAGAGAGTCATCTATGTTGCATTAAATAGACAGACACATGTCACTTACGTGTTTAACAAGAGCTGATGAGAAGAAACTGTTTCTTTTTAATGTCTGTGTGCAAATTTACATTGCAGGTAGCATGTTCCTTTACCAACCTTTGAAACACGACTAGACATTATTTACCTAAGGCATATTTTACAGAGATGGCTCCTTTTTCTGTCCGGGGAGGAATTAAAAGTATCATCATATGACATTTGGTGAGGCTTAGCCTCAGGGTCTCTATGCCTCCAGCGCTGATTTACCTGCTATGCAAACACTTGGCCCCTCATTTTTGCTGCTTACAGACGCTCATGCATCTAATGCTCACATCACTCAGATAAAGTTTTATTTAACTGAGCAAATGTCATGCTTGGCACAAATCCGTTAGAATATGAAAAAGCCTTTAAAATGTCTCCACATACAATTTCGTATGTATAACTAGAGTCATTTAACTATTGAAAGTATATGTGAATCAATACAAATTTAAATTCTTTATAGAAAGTATGTAGTCTCTGGACAGTGAGAGCAACTGGGAGCTACCACATACGCATGCACACCAGCTGGGGCCCAAGCCAGCTCCTTCTAGCCAGGAGACACCACAGGCCACACACATGCCCACCCTGACTCCAAGGAAAATGACACTAGAAGGAACTGACAGCAAATTGTTTAACACAGAAGAACGAATTAGTGACCTGGAAGACAGGATAGCAGAAATCATCCATCAGAACAGTAATATGTAAAAAGAGGTTAGTATAAGGAACCAAAAGTAATGAGTGGCACATGATAAATAAAGCACAACATGCCTTGTGCTTTCCATGGTTATTATCACTGTTGTCTTCATAATTTTTGCTACTACTGCTGCTGATGCTGCTACTGCTGGGGTTAAACTTAGTCTTTATTGGAACACAAAAAATCCTGAGGTGACAGAATCATTATCAATATTAATAATCACTAAGTTATCCTAATAATAAAGAGGAGATTGGGCTAAATGTTTACTAGCTCTAGAGTGGTCCTTTAAAATGGGCAGGTTTGTATGCGTATTGATGTTTAAACGCTGACCTCTTAGGAGACTGCATTCTCTATTTTCCTCTGGATTCCTTAAGAGATGAGGTGGCTGTTGCTGTGTTACGAGGTTGCTATTCAACTCAGATATACAAGTGTCAAACTCATTTGGTTAAGGAGAACTATGTCACATCCTACTCTGCTAAACTCCCACATACCTTCTCAACTAATCTTGTTTTAATATAAAACAAAATAAAGGGTAAACTAAGACATCATCACAGAACTTAAATAATGTCCCATGGGGGGAAAAAATGCTTTCTGACAGGTTTAAAGGAGATTTAGAAACACAAGATATTCGTGACTAGTACTAGTTTAGATGTCCACGGAATAACCCTCTTTCTCTTTATGTCAAAGGGCAAGGGGTGCAGCTAAGGAATCTCCTATTATCACAATGAAAATGTCTTTCCTGAAAGAGTGAGAACAGCACAGGCACCTCATTAAATACCAGTGCGTTTGACCACAGCCTAACTGGTAAAAAGAAGACAGATCACAGAAAAATTACTTGGCTATTTTTAGATATTTAAAGAAAAACAAAATTTCTAGCTTCAACTGTATATAAGAATTGCTTAAAATACCTCCATAAACACATGCCACAGCACTGAAGGCTATGAATTTCACTGGAAATGAGTCACGAGATACCAAAATGTCTGTACATACAATCAGTATGCATGTCTCATAACAAGGGGGACAATTTGAATGCACCCTGAAAATACATTTTCCTAAAACTAAATTTTAAATGTCTCAAGTAGATGGAACAGATAGGTTTTTCTCCCAAATACAAAGTTAAACAAAAGTAGGTTTCTTCAGCAATATATCACGTTAAAGCAGATTTTTCTCTCTCCAGCACACAGGGAAATATAAGTGATCCCTCCAAAAGCAGACCTGAATGCAGAGTTCGGGACCAAGGCCCAGGCCAAGAAGATGCTTAACGAGCTTAGCAGGCGTCGTGATGGAGACGGTGCTGCAAGCCCCGCTCAAGGCTGAAGATAAACGTTAGCATCACCATCAATAAGTGTCAATTATGACTGGCAAAGTCTCTTACCTACAGTTTATGAAACGTCTGTTTATGAAATGTCTTAATGATGGAGTTAGGCGATTATGTTTAGATGTTTAATACAGATGCACTGTCCATAGGCCAAGGGGCCACCTTGTGCCAACTAGCTGACTTTGAAATTTTGATGTGTTAGATATGTCTTCTTTTAATAAGCTAAAAACTGAATACTATGCCCAGTAAGTCACAAAATCCTAGGGTCTCAAGCATCATATGAGGCACCTTCCTCATCTGTGTTCACTTAAAAGAAAAAATGGCATCCTGGCCAGTGTGGCTCGGTTGGCTGGCCACTGTCCCATGCACCGAAAGGTTGCCAGTTCTATTCCCAGTCAGGGCACATGCCCAGTTTGTGGGCTCGATCCCCAGTAGGGGGGCTGTAGGAAGAAGCCAATCTGTTTCACTCTCACAAAGATGTTTTTCTCTCTCTTTTTCTCTCCCTTCCTCTCTCTCTAAAAATCAATTTAAAAATTCTTTAAAAAAAATAGAAAGAAAGAAAAAGTGGTGATGGCAGGTGGGAAGGGCATGGGTTGCTTTTCTAAGTATTTCGACCCTGGACGAGGGACATTCCATGTCACACCTGCTCATTCATCAAGTGACAATCATACTGCGCACTCTCTTCCCATAGTCCTTTCCCAGACAGCTTTTCCATCTCTGACACAATCCACGAGAAGAGACAGAATGAACAGCCTAATTGTGCTATTTGCAAATATACCGTGGAAGTGATTTTTCAAATATTTACCTCTGCCAGAGAAAATGTGGTTTTCCATTTACCTTTATTACCCTTAACACTGTCCCCTTGGCCAAATTACTATTATGACATGAATGATTTTTCTGGTTTCTAATCTTTACTGGGCATAGTCACTGATATTTATAAAGCCCTCCTCCCTCAGTCAGCTGGTTTGTTTGTTAAACAGATATTTATTCAGTGCCTACAATGTACCAGGTGCTATCTAATTTACCATAGTCACTGACCTAAGGTGGCCAGCAACCTGCTGCAATGCAATAAATGGTTCTGAGAATTTCAACTGCATAATGTTTGGGTCTGCATCGTTATCAGATTAATAGAAATGTCTGGGGTGAGCCTGCCACCCACGCGGCTGGAAGCTCCAGGGCGCTAGCTGTTCCATTCAAACCCATCCCACTCCTGGCTAGCAGGAGATGTCTGCCCTGAAATAAGTATCGATGGGAGCAACATGGGGTCATACATCTTGCTACAACTTCCAGGTCAGGGCCTAAAATTTAAGGAATCATTCCATTAGGTACCACCTACCTGGGGACACTGGGCCAGGGAAACACTGAGGATTGGGGCTTCTTGTCTCTCTTTCTCTGACCCCAAAAGACTGAGCTGCTTGACATTTCCTTGCCCCCATGCACTCCCCCACCCCCGACAACGTTAAGAAGTACAGCCACTCCCTATTTCAGGATAAAGGATGGGCACCAATAGGTATTGGCCTTCTATCTGGGGCTCATGATTATCCAGTTTTACTCTATTTTCCTGAATGACGCTCTTGAGAAATTTACAACAATAGCATTTCATGATCAAGTCCATGGGGTGGATCAGTTGAAAATGCTGCTTGGGAATGTTCCTCTCCAATTGCAATGTTCTTTCTTTTTATGACTCAGGGGTCTCAGGATAGATGAAAGGATCTAACACAGAATGGGATGGAGATGTTGGAACTGCATACAAGGTTTTCTTCCACATGTCAAGGATAGTGTGATTGTTTAGCTTCTGTGACAATGCAACAAAATACCAAGCCCATTATCACTTACGAACTACTGGGCTTCTGGCTTGTTTCTCTTTGCCCACTCTTACTTTCCTTCCCACTCACAACAGTGCATCTCAGGTTGATTTCAATCAAATAACAATGTTATTTCTAGATAACTTATTCTGGAAGCAAGCAATTGCTGAAAATTTGGAAATATGTAACATAAGGCTACAAATAAAACAGTCAGGGCATTATCCCTTGGTGAAGATTATTTGTTGATCTATTTGGGACACTCTCCCTTACCCACATGTTCTCCAATTCTAACCTCTGTAACATCTGCCTAAGGACTATGGACTTCACACAGCCCAGAAAACAAATCCAAAGTCCTTTCTAGTAAAAGTTCACACCTTATGCCCAAAACACTGTCCAATTTCAGAAAACGCACAAGTACTCACTTGTTTAGCCTTGGTCTTTGTGATGGTGTCAGAAATAGGTTTCTTCCTCTCTTTTACAGCCGTTTTAGAAAAGAGTTCCTCAAATTCGTGACAGTCTATGGATGGCTCTTCAATTTTTTCCCAAATAAGTGAAGCACTGGCGTCTCTAAAGTTAAGCAAAACATCAATTGAAAGAGCCATCAAACTGAACTATGAGCTATCACGGTATATAGATACAGAGGAAGAGGGGAAAGGAAGGGCAGAGGAATAAAAAAATAGCTGAGAAGTCTGGCCGGCGTGGCTCAGTGGTTGAGCATCAATCTAGGATCCTGGAGGTCACGGTTCAATTCCTGGTCAGGGCACATGCCCGGGTTGTGGGCTCGATCCCCAGGATCCCCAGTAGGGGGCGTGCAGGAGGCAGCCAACCAATGACTCTCATCATTGATGTTTCTCTCTCTCTCCCCCCTCCCTTCCTCTCTCTGAAGTCAATCAAGACATATTTTTAAAGGGGGGCGGGTGAGAAGAACTTGGGAAGGAAGGAAGCATCAAAGGGGGGAACAGAAGAGCAAGCTGGGAAGGAAGGAAGGGAAAAGGGGAAAGAATATTCTTTGTCTTCAAGACCACCATTTGTTTTATCAAGTTGATAAGAAAAGTTAAAATATCATCGATATAAAATGAAACCTTCGCCTAGAAATAAACATTTCCAGGAATTCTCAGTTATCACGTCAGCCTATAAAAGCATAAAAGAAATAAACACCCTCCCAGTATGGGCGATAAAGGCAGGAAATGTTTGCTATCTCGCAATCCCAACTTGACTCATCAGCTCTGTACATTATTCGTGGGTGAAAAGAGAAATCGTTTCACGATTCAGGCAGCATCCTCCATCTACCACCACTTCCCATCCTGCCGCTATAAATCGGATTTCACAATAACTAAAGATTCATGTAATACCACCTGAAAAGGGGAGATTCATTTTTAAAAGGAAAAAACCACAGAACAAAAAAACTTCATATAATATATCTGGGTAAAATCAGTTGGGGAACAGTTAAAAACGATGCATCAACATATATAGGTAAATGGTAACTAAAGACTAAGCGACAAAGGTAAAAGTAGTCAAAATATATATTCTTCCCCCCAATATAATTCACTGAAATGAGAAAATATTAACATAAGAAAGGAGAATCAGCCTTATGAATACCCTACTTCTAAATCCATGCCACATCACACGAACAAAATTCAGGGAATCATGAAACGTGCATGTTTTTTCTCCCGCTGGCATATTCCACAGCCATGTGTCACAGCACTGTCCCAGGGATCAGGGGCCACTGTGCTTGGATAAGTAATATGCCACCAGCGTACCTGGGGGAGGTATTCTTTTACAAATATCCACCCCAACTATGATTTCAAGACTTCACACTGTGCCGCCCATCTCCTACAAAATCATCCAAGTTAAATTATTTCACACCCAGGGTGTGGATATGTGTATTTATGTGTAGCACATCTGTGTAGAGAACAACAGCTGCAAACAAAATGCAATAGTAGCCCGACCGGTGTGGCTCAGTGGCTGAGTGTCATCTCAGGCACCAGGGGGATGCTGGTTCGATTCCCGGTCGGGCATATGCCAGGGTTGCAGGCCAGATCCCCAGGAGGAGAGTGCAGGAGGCAGCCGACTGATGTTGACATTTCTCTCTCATCATCGATGTTTCTCTCTCTCTCCCCTTCTCAAAGCAATAAAAACATATTTTTAAAAAATCAAATGACTTAAAAAAACACAATAGTAAAGCAAGACTGCCTTCAAAAGGGTGCAAACATCCTCAAGAGTCCGTGTGTCTAAGGATTTCATTCACATTTGTAAGCTATTTGGCAGAGTGAGGTTCTGCAAGGAGGCCGAGGGCAGGCGCGCTAAGTGCATCCCTCTGCCTCTGAAAGGTCAGTAACTGTCCAGACATATCCGTTCATCTTACACGCCGATACATCTAGGTCACTAGTCTTAACCTTTTGACACTGCTGGAGAAAAGTAAAATTTTAAACAAGAGATTGTTGCACTAGATATTGATTTAAAAATCTACGAATTTTAGAGCAGTGCGTAAGGTCCCACGACACTGCCACCTCCCGAGCCCCGGAGGCCGGCAGGGGGCGCTACCTTCTGGCGTGCAGCTGGATGCGCGTCCAGTACAGCGGCTTCATGGGCCGGCCCGGCTCCACCGGCGGCCGCCTGCCCGCGCGCTCCT